CTATCTGCCCTCCCCTGGAGACAGCTGGGAGAGCCAGTGAATGGGAGGCTGCCAACACCTGGGACTGGTTGGCTCTGGCAGCAGTAAAGATTTCTGGGACCTATCTGAATTGAAGAAACATCTGAAGCTTGATATTCCAAGCATAACTTCCCATAGCCCCAGTGAATACTTCTGTCCCTGCAGACCCATCTCCTCAAACGAAGACAGCAAAACAGAGAGAAGAAAACCCAGCTGACATTGAAACAGGACTGTCATGAGTAGGGATGAGATCCTGGGATGACTTTCTGACGCTATAATGGAGAGAACAAAAGATTTAGATAAGAAAGTTAAAAACCAAGATCCTGACAACTGCGGAGCGGATATAAAAAGCAATTAGTCCAAATTAAAGCAAGTAGTAAGAGGACCCCAAGAAAAATATCTGAGAGTAAGAATCAAATGGTTTTGGGGTAATTGAAGGCTTCAGGAAGAACATCTATAGGAGCATTACAGTGGAACTTATTCCAAACAATAGATAAAATCCATGAGAATCTGGAAGCTATAGGAAGTAGTTGGGAAAAAAGTATATATTTCTTTTCCCAATGTAATGTGTGAAAAAATCAGAAAATCTCAACCAAAACTAAACTAAACTGAGCATTGTGTTAAGAAAGCAAAGATTCCAATAAAGTGCATTAAACTGGGCCAGATTCTGAGCAATTAGCAGACAGTGAGAAAGGGAGCCGCTCAATCTGGAACATTCTCCCTCTGGTACCATATAGGTCATACATTGGAGCCCTGGAGGAGGAAGTAGGATTGGAGAACATTACCGGGCTCACAGTGAACAATATTTTCATAGTCAACATATTGACTATCAATCTGTTGATTGTCAATGTACTGACAAGCATGAAAGACCAATTAGGACTGAAAAACATATAGCTTATGCTTATCATTCATTAAGAAACCCATCATCACGTTCCTTTACTATGCAATATTTTAACGATATGGCATCACCTTGATTCAACTTTTGAAAAGTAATATTAATCAGCTTAACAAGAAATGTGTGGAAACCATATAAGAAGAAATATTTGTTCGGAATCATGAATAAAAAATAAATGGAAAGATAAACATTTCCATGAGACTGGAGAATAAGAATATCAATTTTTCTTAGACTAATGTGATCTCAACAAATAAAACAAGATGTTTCAAGGAATTAATATATAAAAATAAATGAAAGAATTCTGAAAACAAAAGTTTATGAGGAGCAGCTAGGAATCTTACCAGTTATTAAAATAAATGTACAATTGTTAGACAATTTGGAGATCAGATAGATTGATGGAGAAGAATAGAAATTTAGAATTAGAGCTGAAATTATATGAGTATTCAGTATATAATAAAGGGAGTATTTCAAATTATTGAAAAGATAGATTTTTTTTTCATTTATATTATGCTGAGTCAGGTGATCACCTATTTGAAAGAAAAAAAATAAGATTAATTCCTATCTCACTTCTTATACCAAAATAAATTCCAGATTTAGACTGATTTAAATAGTGACTTCTGGTTAAGCATGTTAAACATAATAAAATAAGGAACATAAAAGTACAGGTACATTTAAGTCTAATATTCCAATGAGAGAAGTTTTTTTTGTTTTGTTTTGTTTTTTACCTTAGATAAAAGAATAGCAAATTAGACCACATAGAAATTTAAAATTAATGTTTGCAAAAATACTGCAAACAGATAGAGGAAAATACCTTAAACATATATGACAGATAAAAGATTAGTTTTCTTAATTTATAAAGAGCTGGTGGAAACCCATAAGGAGGGACAAGAGGTCCACAGGGTAGGAAATTGGCATTACATAACAACAGGTAGCTTGGAGAAAAGAGAGGACTTCCTCCAGGTCTTTGTTCCTTGCCCCCTTCTCCACCATTTACATCATACTTGTTTTCATCATGACAGTCACTTGCCATCATTTTCCCCAAACAGTTCTTGCCTCACCCAGAAGGGATACATTTGTACTTCTAACTTGCTCCTTGATAGCTTTACCATAGTTCTCTTATACACCATATTTTCCATTTTACCTTTTATTAGAGTTGGTCATTTTCATCTTATTCTATCACTTTTGATTATAAATTTCTTAGTAGAAGAAACCGTGTCTTCCTCATTTCAATGCCTGACACCTCAAGCCTCCAGAAACCGCTAACAATCCATGTTTAAATAAGTAAGCTAAGCAGACTCTTCAAGGGACACACATTCTGTGGACAATATAAGTGTACTTGAGTTACATCTCAATCATCGGGATTTAAATTTCTGGATAAAATCTCAGCAGATAAAAATCTGCTGGATAAAATAGCAGCCTTCATGCAAAGCACAAATTCATTTTCAGCCTGTGATAGACGTATTTCATGGCACTAATTTTCATTGGTTTATCCACGTAAGCAGCTAGAAAGACACACATTGTAACAAAGCGTTGCTCTCAAATATAATTCACAGCATCTTACAACATGCATTTTCAGGTGGCTAAGCTGTACAGAAATGAGATTTTTTTTTTTCTTCTGAGACTCTGAAGAGAGTAGAACATAACCCCAGTGTTCTTGCCCACATTGCTTATCTGCCAGCAACGGGTTACAATCCCATAGCTCCACGTTCCTGAGCATTTACTGAATGCATAATAGCTGAGTATTCATGAAAGCTAATGTGGTGGATGAAAACAAATTAATTTGGTTAGTGCCCAAGGCAGTTGAAAGGTACACCTGCATTTTTTGGTCTCTAGGCACTAAGAATAGATGTTGGATTTAATCACAAGCTTGCCTGCCATTTTGGGGGAAAGAAATCCATGTTGGGTAAAATTCCCTTTATGCTGGTGGGGGTTTTGATCTTCCCCTGTTGCTGTTGAGTCTTTAGGATGCACACACTTTTTCACACTGGTGACATCTTCATTGAAGAAAATACAGCAGTCTGATATTTTTTTATGAATCATCTTTGGAACCTGTGTTCCTTGTCTTTGTATGTAATAAATATTCGACAGAAAAAAAAACAGGGAAAAAAATAATTCCCCTGATGATAAGTGTTGGCATACTTATGAAGTTAAATGACGTGTTGCAAAACCTTCTGAAGCATTTTTAGGATGAGTTAGAGCTAATATTCTCTTAGGCGCCCTGGCAGGGAAAGTATTATATTGTCCTTGACAAAGCTGAGTTCAAGCATCACTACCAGCATACTTCGTACTTTTGTGAACAAGACACACTGTAGGGTAATGAGATTATAGAAAAATTAACTCAAGGAGATGTTAAGTGTTTCACACATGGACAAAGGATAAGTGGAAAAACTTATCTCCTGGTACAAGAATCATTTAACAATTAATTGCTCCTTTGTTCAAATGGGTCTACTATGTGCTAGGCATTTAATGTCATACTTCTAAAACAGTTCTTGAAGTGTCCCTAGCAAAGCAAACTGCTAAGAGAGCTTACTCTGTGGGGTACAGCTTGGAAAGTAGTAGATTCAATACCTCACTGAACACAGAATGTGATACTTGGAAAAGGACTTACTTTGGAGTCATAATGACTCAGTGTTACTTGTTAGTGTCACACATTAGTAGAGTGACTTTGGGCTAATCACCTATCATTCTTAAGCCTCATTTTCCTTATCTTCAAAAAGAAAGAGTCAAAGTAGATTATCTGTAGTGGCCACTTTGTCTCTAAGATCCTATCAATGTAACAGGGCTTTTATCTTGGGCTCTGTCCATCTTTGTATTATCCTGGACCTTAGTTCTTGGAATCTGAGAGTCCAGTTTACAACTTCATTGTACTAAAGCCTATAAAGACATTTTTAAAGAGTCACTAGATTCCAATTTTCACTTTCCCCAGACATCATCATTATCATAAATCCTCATTAAGAAACATTTATTGACCACTAGTGTATATAAGACACATGAGTCAGGGCTGTACATATAACTCTATATTTAATAAGAAAAACTTGTAAGAATGGAACTAACCAAAGATCTTGGCAGAGAAAGTATGAGTCTTGTAGCTTGGCTGGATTCTGTTGGAATGCTCTATTTTAATTAATTTATTTATTTATTTATTTATTTAGGTCTTGGCCTCTTTCATGGTCTTGACTCTGTGCCTTGAAAATAAAACAAAAAATAATCATGACAAGTGTGTTTGTCTTTATTAAGTTACTCTGTATGGCAGTATCATTTAGAAATATTTGTTTCTTGGGGCACCTGGGTGGCTCTTTTGGTTAAGCCTCTGACTCTTGATTTTGGCTCAGGTCATGATCTCAGGGTCATGAGATCAAGCCCTGTCAAGCTCTACACTGAGTGTGGAGCTTGCTTGAGATTCTCCCTCCTTCTCCCGCTACCCACCCCCTCTCTATTAGAAGGAGAGAGAGAGAGAGAGCAAAGGAAAGAAGAAAGAAAGAAAGAAAGAAAGAAAGAAAGAAAGAAAGAAAGAAAGAAAGAAAAAAAAAAGAAAAAAAAGAAAGAAAAAAAAAGAAAAAAGAAAGGAAGGAAAATATTTCTTTCTTATAGGGTCTCATGTTTTTAATATAACTGAAATAATTTGATAGATGAATACTACAAAAGTAAAATTAAGGCTATTATTCTCATATGCCTTTAGACAATCAAATGCAATTCGCTATAAAAATAAGTTGTACTTAGCAGCAAAATAAAAATACAGTTATCTGTTGGAAATGTTAAATTTTAGCTTGCTTAGAGAATAGAAAAAAAAATAACAAGAGGTCCTGATTTTTTCTTCAATTTACTCAATAGTATTTACCCACCCACAAGGCTAATTTTAATTCAGGGTGATTATTTTAGTTTAAAACACTGAAAAGTTAGATATCAGGCTTTTAGGATTTTTAGTTCTCAGCTCTTTCCCATCTGTTGCATTAAGGCTGTTCTTCCTCAGATCAATCAGATAAAAATCAATAATGTTGACACCAGAGTCCTCTAACACCACATTCTAATTTTAAAATGCACGTGCGCCTGAGCAGGTGTTTAACACCTCCGTTGTCTTCCTCCGCAGGCATTTATGTCCATGTTCCAGATCCTCACCCAGGAAGGATGGGTAGACGTGATGGACCAAACCCTGAATGCTGTGGGCCACATGTGGGCACCTGTGGTGGCCATCTATTTCATTCTGTACCATCTCTTTGCCACTCTGGTGAGTTTAGCATTTTTTTTTAATTCTGTCTTACAAACATAGTGGGATGAGCATCAGCCGGTTTCTGTGGCCTAGTTTCCATTTCAGAACAAGAGCCAGAGAACCCATGTAAATAGTCCGACCAGATGAGGTCCCTTCCAGTCTCAATTCCTATGAATCGAGCTCCTTGAGGAACTAGATTTCAGATCTGAGTAAGACGTCTCCATCAGATACAAGTGTTCACATGAGGGAAAACAAGACGAGACAAAATCGAAATCCCGCAATTTGCGTACCTGTTTCATCATCTCTAAGCATTCCCACTCTAGATAATCTAAGGATCAAGCCAGACTACATTATTATGATTGCTGCCGTTATTATTATTTATCATGTAGAGACAAGATCTTCAGTGTCACTGCTTCCTTTTCCAAGCTGAGACTAAACTGAAGACAAGGTGAAGATCTCAGGGTACAGTGAGAAGTCAGCTCAGTGTTTTGGGGCTTTGACGGAAAGAAATGCATGGGAGAACATTAAAACTCAGAGCTACAAATAAATTGTAAAAAGCATCATGAAAATTTAATACCAAAACCCAGGAAAAATTGACTTCTGTCACACAGCAGATTTTTTTATTTTCAATGCATTTCTATTAAACAGAAAGAAAAAAATTGTGAAATGTGGCCTTAACATACGAAGGGATGTAATCCTCAGGTCTTTTAATGGCAAAAGTACGTCTCCTTACAATAAAAGTGTATGTAGTTAAGAAGCCAACTTAAGCTCTATTATGTTAAAAGTTCCAAAGTAGGAAACCAAAATGTTATCCTTTATCAGAAACACATGAAATTTAAAAAACAAACAAACAAAAAACTGCTATTGTTTATTGAAAAGCAAAATGTTTTATAATTTTATTCCTAGTATTTGGAACAACCAAGGTAGGTAATGCTCCCACTTTACAGATGATGGGTTCTTAACTCCTCTGAGGCTCAGAGGAGTTAAGAAATTTGCCCAATGCCACGTAGGGTGTAAATGCTGGAGCCAGAATGTTCCCACGTCTTCCTGGACTCACAGCCTGTCATTCAGCTATGTCACTGTTTCCTTAGATTGCGATGTTTCCCACTATCCCTGAAAATGTCTTCATGGAGTCAAACCTCTGTCCAAGAGTCACTAAAATAAAACAGATTACAAATGAGTGCTAAGGTCCCTTCCAATTCTAAATATGAACCATATAAGTGCTTCAGAAACTAGATGTGTTGGAGGTTGCATTTGCTATAGGCAGAGCCTTTCTTTCCAAAACCGAGACACATCCGTCAAGCACTGTATGGGGATGCATCGTTATCTGGTGTAAAGTTTTAGATTCAAGCAGTAGAATCACATGGAAGTAGTTTTGGCATTTTTTTACATGGGGTGACTTTTAAAATATGCACAAAAGGAAAGAACTTTCAGCAGCGGGGAAGGAGGCCCGGCTTCCAGAGCGAAATCTGCCCGCGCTGCGTGACATGTGGCCCTGAGCACTTTGCATCCTCCCTTCCAGGACCTTTAAGTCTCTGTCATTCATTCATTCGTTCATTTACTCATTCATTCCCTCGTTTGTGAATTCAGCTGTTCATTAAGCATCTACTGTGTTTAAGTTCCTTTAAAACTATGGAATAGCTTGGAGACTATTGATCATGGGTTCAAGGTAGGAGAGATATGATTGAAATCATCCATGTATGGTAATAATCTATCTAATTGTTTTTCTATTAAAATGGTATACTTGTTTGCTATCCTCATGGCAGTTTTTTCACATAGATTTAATCCTTTAGTGAGAGTCTCACACAGTATGAAAGCAAGAAAAAAACTGATTCAGCCTAATAAACTGTTTACCAAAGTAATTTTTTTTTCAAGTGAACTTCTACAGAGATCACTAATATGATGAAATAAAATGTTAAATCTGGTGCATTGACTTCTTGGGCAGTCTCATTTTTCCTTATGGGTCAAAACCATGGCACTGACTGTGGAACATGGAAGCATTTCCAGGGGCTCCCAAGGGCTCACCTGCACTCTTAGGAATCCACAGAGCACATCTGGAAAACCCATATGTAATTCTGCCTTTTCATTCTACTGAGTCAAGTATCTGCCCAAACCATTTATTGTAATTTTTCCATCATGATTTTCAAAACGTGATTCTAAATTAAAACTATAAATTGAAATAATTTCTTCTTTTATTCATAGTCTTTTCCAAATCTGGAAAGCAACGAGGGCACTTTGGGAAATAAGGTGGAGTATAGCTGTGGAGTTCAAAGTCTAGATTCAGGTTCTAGCTCTGTGCGTCGCAAGATGGGTGACTTTAGAAGAATCCAGCAACTTCCCTAACCTCTCTGTCATGTATCTGAAAATGAGGATAATGAGGCCCCACATACCCACTTTCCACGATTGCCATCTCCATGTGAGCTGTATTTTTGAGGATGTTTTAGCCGTGGAATGTGAGGAAGATTGCAGCTGTCCCCAGCACTGAGTTTAAATAAGATGGAGTGTGCCTTTAAGGGTGTACATTAATAAGTGCTAGAAAATGATTATATTAGTTCAGATGCTTTTAGTTTGTAGAAGTGTTACTGATCAGTTTAAAATGTCACTGATGCCCCTTCCTGGACCGAGTCCTTCTCTACCTTAATCTTTCCTTCTTTCCCCACATTTCTTCTCCCAGACAAGGACTAGGGTGCATTTGGTCTGAATCTAACTTCCAGTTTCAAATCATATTTTACTGAATTTAACATGCTCTCAACTATAGGAAGACTTAGTTTGTTTAATATTAACAAAAAGCAACCGTTAAACCATACATACAGATGGTAAGGTGCACTCCAGTTTCAGAGTTGTTAAAATGTGAAAATAAATGAGTGTCTTAAAATCAATGAAGTGCAGTAGTCTCCCACATATATATGTGTCCATCAAAAACATATAGTGCTTTAAATTTAAGGTTATAATCTACATTTTATACCATTAGTTTGTAAGATTCATGTTAATTTTGTAGTTTGAGAACTCTGCCCCAGTGCCCTGGTGGGCGTCCCTGGGGGAGATGTGCTTGCACACTTTTTTCCCTATTATGACCACACACCATGCTGAGGCCAATTTATACTTGATCATTGTTTCCCTCCTCAAGATGATTAGTAGCAGCAATTTTCAGAATAAATGGTATCCAACTCTGCATACATTCTCAGTACGTTTGTCACCAAAGAGTGTTTTCGAAGTCTTTTTATTTTAATACACGTAAAGTTCATTCAGCCATTAGTCTGTATAGTCATGAATATATGGAATATAACTGACTATGCCATATTTGTTTATCAGAACTTCCTGGTGGGTATTTAGGTTGTTTTCCAATGATTTGCTCTCATAATATTGCAACTAATATGTTTGTACGCTGTGTCCACTTGTGTGAGAGTTTCTGTGGTATATATGCCAGAAAGTAGAATTCAGGATCCTCGATCCTGCCCAGATGGCTCTGTAGCATGCGCCTGCAAGCCCATATATCAAATCTGGTCCGCAGGCTTTATTTATACAGCTTGTGAGCAAAGAATGGTTTGCACGTTTTTAAATTCAAATATAAGTACGCACAGAATATCATCAGTGTTGTCTCTTGGCCCTCTAAGCCTAAAATATTTACTGTCTGGGGCTTATATTTGCTGACCCCTGTTCTATGTGCAAGCTGTACTGATTCACCCTCTCAAGTGTTGAGAATCCCTGTGTTCTTATGTTCTCACTTCTAGTTGATATTGTTAGACTTAAGATTTTGACAGTCTCATGAGTTGGATGGTAATATCACTTGGCCTTAAACTTGCATTTTTGTCTTTCAGTAATTGTTAATAAGGGAGCACTTCTTCATGAGTTTACTGGCCATCTTTGTGATTCACCCAATTGTATTGTATGCTTTACCTATTTCCCTAAAGGCTAGTTTGTCTTTTTAAAATGCATTTGTTGGAGTGGTACATAGCCTCTGGATAGTAATCCCATAGGTGTTGCAAATCTCCTCTCTTAGGCAGCCTTTTGCTATTTCAATGTATCTGTGAGGGCTTTTGACATTATGTTTTGATGTGGTCAAGATGATCATTTTTTCACTTATTTGGTCAATATTTGTTCTGGACTCATGCTTAAGAAATTCTTTCCTACCCTGAGATAGTAAAAATATTCTCCTCTGTCTTCTTCTAATTGTTTTGAATTTCTGCCTTCCACCATTAGGTCTTTAAGTAATCATAACATACTGTTTGTACGTAGTGTGAGCCAGATAAAATACACCACTGCAAAAAAATTCACATTGGTTTTTCCCAACCAGATTTATGGGAAGTTTTTTACATTTCGAGATAATTTAGTTAGGTTGCCTGATTGTGATATCTAAAGCCAAAAGATCAGCTACTCAGATTGCTACATTTATAAGTGATTTTTTAAAATGAGAACTAATTAATTCAGTGAAAGAAAATACTCCATATAACTAAATTAAACCTGATAGTTCCATTTCCAGACAAAAGTCTTGAGACTGAAGTCACTTCCCCAGTTCACTGGAGATTTTGCCTGGAGCATGATCAGCAGTCGCCTTATTTTTCCTGACATCCTCCAACCCACAGTCACTACCGTGGCCTCCATCAAGTTAGCTCAATCTGATTCAACCCCGTTTTCCTGAATCTCAGCTCCTGTGTCTAAGTACCAACCTACATCCTGGCCAGATTAGACAAGAGCTTAATCCCTGCCGTTTCTGAGCCTACAACCGGTGCAGAAGTAGGGCTGGTAAACACAAACCAACCAACCGACCAATAAAGCCTGCCATTCGAGACCTAATGACACAAGTGATAAAAGGCTGTGGATTGCCGTGGGATCAGTGCCCACATAATAAACTTCTGATTTGCACTCATCCAGCCCTACCTGATCTGAAATAGTTAAAATATTGACAGCGAAACAGCTGGAGATGGTTTGTGGATTGACATATAAGTATGTGGTTGGAGGCCCTAGGCCTCTGTGACATATGCATCACATTCCCTTAAAAACTGAACACTTAGAAGTTA